CAAAAAAAAGGACGTGATCCTGTTGGTAAGAAGACAAGATGGATTTCAGATCACAAATGGGTTAACCCTGAATCCAAGCCTTTTTTTGTATCTGATTCTTCTCGCTCACTCGAAACGACACCACACCTGGCGCCACAGCTGACCGCCCGCCGAAACGGCAGGGCATGCTATACCCGTTGAGCAGGTCGGATCCGGTGCTCCGGTTTGGGGTCCGTCTGGGGTCGGTCGGTGGGGACGGGAAGTCTGTCACCAGGCATTTTTGGACGAAAGACCTTGAGGGAGTTGGAAACAATGGTGAAGCTTGAAGCATTTAAACAGACTTCATTCGTGGTGGCGTTTTACTGCGATTTCTAGGAATCTTCGTCATCACTTGAGCCTGTTCCTTGTCGATGCTTTGCTATCAGACAATGATGGGTGACCATTGGTTTGAGCATGCTGGGTTTGTTTGAACTCATCCCCGTCAGTAAGGACAGATTGATGCAGATTGGCATTAGCATACAGGGTGATCCTCATGACTCAATATGACTCGTACGCATCCTGGATTTAATCTGGGATATAATATATACTATTCAAACCCAAATTACTGGAAGAACACTAAACATCACTTGGTCCCAAGTGATGTGGGTCTCATTATGCGTCATGACCACTCATGCCTTTTTTCTCCAGTGCCACCCTAAACCGATCTCCACAGATCCCCACAGATCCCCCGAACCCCCAGAGCTGTGAATGGCCTCGTTCGACCCGGCCAGGCCGGTCCGGTCGAACGTCCCGGCGTTCCAAAGATCGAACGTCCCGGACGGTGGTCCGCGGTGGAGGCCTTTTTGGAAGAAATGGCAGAGATCCCCAAAAGAAACGCCAGACTGGCGCCAGACTGGTAATATATATATATATGCAATGGGTAGATATGAATTTTTGTGATATATGTATATGATTCTGGTCATCAGTAATTACTAGCCTTTAAACCGACCTATTATATCATGTCTTATTAAAAAATGAGTTAATAACAATTTGTGACTCTGATTATTGTTAACTAGCCTTTTTTGGGGGGGGTGGCAAGCAAAACAGCGCTGCACGCATGAGAGCCACTTTCTTTTTCCCCGATCCACGCATGGATCCTGCTGAAGGCGGAACTACAAAGTGATCTAACGTGCTCGACAACAAAAATTGCCACATTTGGATCCCTGAGTGAAAGGAGTATCACAGGTCCAGGTCCAGGAGTATTGGAGGAATCCCTTGCAGCTGTGCAATGCTGTGCACCTGGTGCCTGTCAAGCGTGTTTTGGGGGTATCTCGCTTTTGTTGCGCCAAGCGCTCTGTAGGTGTCAGTAGGTGCGGCATATGTCGACCCATGTCAGCTAGTGCTTTGCTTTTGTGTGTTCTAAACGATCTGCGAATGGGTCTTCAGATCACGGACCCGGAAAGCCGCCAAAGGAGTCATTCTCAATACCCAGACTCCAAAGGATGGGTTTCATGGCACCCTGAAATCACCAGAAAGCCATGATACCCTGAGACTCTTGATTGATACCCGCACAAGAAAGTCTTCATATGGAGAAGCTTCAGCAAATCAAGAGTCTACATGAGTGGCTTCTTATTACCTCTTTGGCTGTTTTGCCTCAGACTCCATAGACACCGGACACTAGAGTACTGCAGACATGTCATGGGTGATTTCGCAAGCAGCTAGCCCATGCACCATGTCCCGTATGGGCTGCAATACCGAAACAACTTGAAAAAACGGCTCTCGTTCTTTTGTTCTTTTGGCCGTGCCCACATTTGCTGACTTCGACATCTGCCGGTTGCACGTCGCACATGGCACGGTGGCCTGAGGACCCGTGGTGAACGTACAGTTTGAGACGTTCAAGTCTCGTCGTCCTCCACGAAAGAATTCTCAGTTTTATCACGGGTGATACGAAAGCCGCGCAAGGCCATTCTTTTGGGTCAAAACAGGTGGCCGAGATTCTTTGTCAAAGGAGGAGGGCTTTGACCATGGGGGAAAAGCAAAAAGGTTTCAATGCTTTGACCATGGGAGCTGGTTCTCCGACTCCCAAATCCAGCGATGATCCCCGTGCCCCAAAATGTTCGCCTTTGAGAAGCCACTGGGCGGCGCCAGTCATTATTTGAACATCCAATGACCAACAACATGGCTGAGCTATTTCGTGGACGAAGGGGAACCCGCTTTGCATGGCCAACGGGGAAAAACCTAAGGTCAAACAGGAGCCAGAACGGGTGAAGAACATGGCGCACGTTTCATAGTTGAGCATGGATGTGACGAAGTCGCCATAGGTTTCGGCGAATTGTTGGAAGTTACCCCATGATGTCATGATGCTTTGGATGGTAAAGGCATGGAGGAGACAAAAGACTTGAGATCCATGTGCTCCGAGTATTGAGGGCCATTCTTCGATGGCCTTAGAAGCGTCGCTTCTTGCTTCTCTTTGAGCCAAGCTCGGTCGGGGAGTGAGGGACGGTGTGTGAGCTCGGTGCGACTCTCCCACAAGACGTGGGCAGAAGTCGTCGATCGACCGTGGGTGGGGTAGGAGAGGTGACGAAAAGAGCTTTATGGGAGCTTGCTTAAGCCAATCCAGATTGAACAAGGATGTCGGCCCTGATGTCGGCATCTCTCACTTGCAGTTACCCCCAAACAGAAAGGGTGTCCGTTTCCATATGTAATTACATGCTTTCTAATGGGCTTTGTTCCGTATGTGCCCATATTTGATCATGCTGCAGTCAACACGGCGTGCCTCCACACGGAACACTCGCAACCCCAAAACCGCGCCGTGAACCACGTGAACCGCGCACGGGGGACTCCGCCCGCGGAAAACCGGGTCATGCTGCTTTTTTTTTGTGTTTGGGGCGAGATGCCGTGAGAAGAAGTTGGCTGCAGTAGCTGAAGTAAGTTGAGGCCCAGCAGCAAAAAAGCCGCGATGGGACAGGGCAGGCCCAGGCGCTTGGGTGGCAGAGACAGGGACACCAAGATTGGCCTGCCTCACCCCCCTTGTCCCACATGGATTTAGCTGTATCCGAAACAGCCAGTTTGACAATGTCCAATCTTTATTGGGTTCAAGTTCGGATTGTGTTCGGATTCAAAAGTGACCCTTTACAGGTCCTTTTGTGACCTCAAAACAGGATATCAATGGATATCATATGGTCACTTTGAAGAACCAGGTGGATAGATTTGACTTGGCCCTCCACGTTCCACATGGTGCAGTCTTTTCTATCGGAAAAAAAAGACAACATGAGACTGCTCGACTGCCTGAATTCCAAACCAAACTCACCCTGGCACTTGTCCCATTCAGACAAAGAGATTGCTTTGCTCAAGTTGCTTTCCACTCTATCTTAACGTCTTGGTATCGCCTATGAACCAGGCCAACATTTGGTTTGATCATACCTGGATCTTCCAACGGTGTAAAAGATAGAACAGACCATTTATGAACGGGAAGAACTTGGAAGAACCAAACAAGTTCTGCATCGTTGGAAGATCGGAGGTCACCATCATTCTCCCACTTGTCTCGGTAGCTTGGCCTACACAGACACCACAGACGGCCACACAGATCACACAGACGCCCCGTATTCGCATTGGAACAGCTGAGGTCAACCCAGTGGTCCGTGCTGAGAGGTGTGGAGCTTGCTTTTTGCTCGGTCGGCCGGGCGCTCGCCGTGGTCGAAAAAAGTGACACGAAACTGTTTGGGGCTTTTCGACCACAACATTTGCTGCTGTTTCCACGTAAATTCTGTGATGTTGTGATCTGTGTCTAGAGCTGTTTCTGGAAGAACCAGTGATGCTTTTCAAGCACTCATCTGATCGGACAAGCCAATCCCATGGAGTGTTTGTATGATGGTGTGATGATGTGTGTGAGGTTGATTGCATGTTTTCGGAATTGCATCTTTTGGGGATGCCCTCGGGGATTACAAGAAGCCCCCTGTTGAACTGTGTGTTTTTCATGTTGAAAGGCTGGGAAAAGCGTGCAAATAGTACTATATATAACATATACAATGGATTGACATTAGGAAGATGTTGGGGTGATTTGTCATATGATGATGTCACCGCTTTGTAATGATTTCTGCTGTGGTGATTTCTGTCACGTTGGCAGCTCACGTTGGCAGGTTCGTCTCTTGACGACTAGTGACTGGTGTTGAAGGATGAATGGGTCCAACGGGTGCTGTGTCTTCTGCGTATTTTTGGATTTACAGATCTGCACTCGGAACCATCTACCCCTTATGGATGTGTCCTGAAGACAACGGAGAAGACGAAGTGTCGAAGTGTGTTGGACTTGCATTTTTGTCCACGTGACGTGTTCTCCATCTTTGACTTGCAAGAGCGATCACATGACATCACACGACCAACCACTTGAAAGAGGCTCCGACTCCGACTCCACGCTGTTGGGCCACATGCCGAACGTAGAGGACAATCATCGTCCAAGGGTCGCTGGTGACCACGGTCGTCAGCAAACGGACGAAGACTGACAACAACACCGCGGACACTGCCGCGCAATGGTCAAGCAACAAAAAAGGACGTGGCAAGATGTTGATGGATTACCCATGCGACAGGGGCCCTGTTTGGTGGTTAGTCGGTTTGAAGGAGTACAAGCAAGGGATTACGTACGGGTGCATGGGAAACCAACCGGGCTAGTCCACTGTAATGGTAGAGTGTAATAGATGTGCTTGATTGTTTGCTCCGTGTGTTTGCCAGAGGATAATGGCCTACAATCAGGTTTGAAAGACGGGGTACGGATAGGGCGGTACAGTACTTCCTTTCTGGTTGAACAGAAGTTTCTTCTTTCATGCATCATTTTTGCCGCTTCCATGGTTGCACGTGCCCAAAACAGGTACGCAGACAATGCTAGAAGAAGTCAGAAGACAGGAGCGACCAAGTGATCAACACCTTCGATGTAAAAGCACCTCATTTTTTATGTAGAAAGCACTTCTTCGATGTGAAAGCACTTAGGACATGGATCCAAATGGCTGATGATTCTTTTGCTTCTTCATGCTTCTTCTCACCCTTTCACCCTCCAAACCAGTCCAGACGCTTTGACTACACCGCGACCGCGGACCTCGCCATGTCGGCCGCCGTCTACGCCGTCCACGCGGCGCAATGGGCCCAGCGCGGCGCGCTGAGCGCCCCAGGGCCGCGCAGGGAGTTCTTCAGCCAACTCAGGCGAAGTCCCAGATCAGGTGGAGGGTGGACGAGTGGATTTAAAGCTGAAAGAATGTGATGTCCAAGTCGTTTTGTTCTTTTCTTTCTAATCTTGAGCGACATGTGATATCAGATTGATCAGACGTAATTATTGGAGATGACCTATTTTGGTTGAGTTTTTGGATCAGCGGGCAACATCAATTGATGTTTCTCCGTGTTTCTTTTGTTTCATCCACCCCTCCAGCAATGCGGGGTTTGAAACTTCGTCTCAACCTGCTGCCGTTTTCCACCCGAAGAGTTCAGGGAACTGAAGGGGAGATCTAATTGCAACGTCATCAGACATGCGCTTGTTACAAAGCATTTCCCTGGACAGGGGTCACTCATTCTTAATCCTTTTCTTCGCGGGGCACCTTGTCTTTGAACGAGTCAGTGTTAGAAGAGCTTCAGAGGACCTGAAGATGATTGATGGCACCTAAGTTATATAGACCATATAATACCATATATACATTTGCCAAGACCAAAGGGTTTCACCCGCTGATTTTGTGGCGATTCGATCACTCGCGTGCCCTCCCTTCAACCGGTCCGCTAAACACACCTGACCGCCCCAGCTCAAGAGCCTCCCGGCGCTTCACAGTGGCCTGCTATCTCAGGCTGAGGCTCCTGCGACAGGTGCCGGACGCACCACTGCGTTGCGCCGGGTGGAAGGAAGTGGCCTATGGCACGATGCTCCGACAGTGGGAGGAAGAGCAGGCCAGGGCCAGCTGCAGGGCGGAAAAACACGTGGAAAATTAATTCACGACAGACGAGCGTTTCAGTTCATACCCCAAAAATACATGTTGCCCAAGAAATCCAATGATAAACATGGAAACATCTGGTGAGACGTTGTTGAAGTCCTTTTTTTGTGTAGTCCATGTCCTCTTTGAAAAGTCCTGGAGCCTCAAGAGGTCTTAGAAGACCCTAACGGAACACAGCTGTAGTACCACAAAGCCAAAGCGGAACAGGTCGAATGTGTTTTGATATGTTTTGATGTGTTTTTGGAGTCACATTCTAATCGGATGCCTAGTTCCAATACCCATGGCAGGCAGTTCGAACCGCAGGCAAAGACTACTACATCCCATGGGTTGGGCACCAAATGGTTCTCGGAACAACTATTGGAGGATGCTGACCATTGCTGACTCAATTGACCTGCATCAAGGAGCAACCTGATGTTGCTCACCATCTGCTGCACCATCTGCCCGTTCGCCTCGAAGCCCAAGGCCAAGATTTTGGCCAAGACTTGGAAAGGCCGCCTGCAGGCGGGCTTTCCACCCGAAGGGCGCGTGTTTGGGGCTTAGATGGGTCAGGTGATGATATCCAATTGTTTTTAGGGTGCATGGGGGGGGGGGAAGCACACTGCTATGAGTAGAGATGACTTGCAGTTTCGGGACAACGTTTCTGTGTGCAGGGCGTAGATGATCTTAGATGCGTGCAATTACAAAACTGGTTGAGGTGCTTACCTTTACTGGCTATTCAATTAGATGATAGATGTTGAGACTCTAGACCTTTTGCCCTGTCGATGGAACATACGGTGGACCATCGACAGGGCCTTCTAGCGGGTCCGACCGATTCCAAGGATCGATTCGTCATGGTGAACACACTGGTCACCACTGTTCCATGACCTGGTTACCACTACTCCATGTGTTACCACTGGTCAGGAACTGTTCCATTTCCTTTACAGGTGACCACATTTGAGAAACATGGAACAGTTAATCTAAAAACATCCTCGATCGAACGGTTGGCATTTGGCGGAGTCAGAGTATGTGAGATTCCAGCGACGTCATGGGTCATATGAGGTTTTTTCTTGAGTAATTTGTGGACGGGGGGGTACCCTCTACCTGATTTGTACCTGCGCAATTGCTAAGGATAACCACAGGTTTTGTTGAACACCATTGGGACATGTACATGATGGTTTACAAAGTTTGGATCATTTAAACAAATTTAAACCTATTTATTGACGTTGTTAGCAGCGTCATGATGGTTGGCATCTCCCAAAACCTTGTCTCTCTCAAAACCTCGTCTCCAACTGATCGGTGTCCTTGCACCTATCATGTCTTGATATATATATATATATTGTGATTCTGCAACCATCCAACCACCACAGGTGCTCTCATGTGAATCCACCCTTAGCCTTTTGGCACGAGGCCGTGGGCGGGTGGGAATGCGGCCATGACGGCTTGAGAAAGGACGTGTGGTCACGTCATCGCAGTGTGGTCACTGCCGTTCGTATCCCAGAACCGGACAACCTGAGGCAGGCTGGTGAAAAGAGATCTTTCAGCGCGGAGCGCTTTGGAGAAGGGAAGGGCCTCCGGAGGAGGCATTGTTTCTTGAAGAAGTGTTGGCTACCTTTGTGAAACCCATTTCACATTGGTAGCGGAGCCGCCCTGCTTGTTGGGCGGCTCCAGCGACCTTTGGGATCCGTGGCGACAGAGACTGCGGCTAGTTCAGTTACTGAGAGTACTGGTTTGGTACCCACATAACTGGCATCGCTGGTCCCTAGGTTTGACCCTGCCAAAGATGATTTGGAGCAATATACAAACAAGGTTGAGCTGCCCGTTGAAGTTCGGCCACCAGGCAAAATCCAGGAGCTTGTCACCCGGCTAATTTTGGCCACCTCCGGAACTGCTTTTCAGAAGTTGAGTCTCCACAAGTCGGAACTCCTGGGCTCGAGCGACAAGTCCCAGGTGAAGAAGCTGGTTGCCCTCCTCGGTGGGCATTGGGGAAAAGTCACTCTGGAGCAAAAGTATGAGAGCGCCGAGCGCGCCCTGTTCCGATGTGTCTAACGAGGTGATGAAAGCAATGACTCCTATCTAGCACGTGCGGACGTGTTTTGGTCGGAGTTGCTGTCCAAGCGCATGGACTTGTCACAGCTGCAAGCTTACATTGTGCTGCGTGGCTCATCATTGAGCAGTGAAGACAAAAAACGGGTGCTGATTGAAGCTGATGTTCATGATGGAGGGACACTCACCATGTCCCGTGTGTCTCAGGCCATCCGGATGCTCGGTGCAGGTTTTTTCCATGATCTTCTAGGCCAAAAGCGCTCAAAAGGAAAGACATACGATGCCACAGCACTGAACGTCCAGGAGGACGTGCCCTCGACAGCAGCTGACGAATCAGCGTACACCATGGAGGAGGACTTTATGGAGCAAATGTTCCAAGATGGTGATAAAGATGCGGCCCTCGTGGCCGAATACGAGTCCTCAGCCGTCGAAGCTCTTCAAGAAGATCCCGACCTAGCGCTGGCCCACTCCACATATCTTGAAGCACGACATCGACTTTCCGAACGCTTCAAGAACAGAGGATTTTGGCCAAACAGCTCAAGACCAAAAGGAAAAGGCAAAGGCTGGGAAAAAGGGAAATCCAAATCCTATGGTGGTGGATACAAAGGGGCTGGAAACCGCAAGTCGCTACAACAGCGCATCATGGAGAGTAGCTGCAGACTCTGTGGGAAAAAGGGGCACTGGAAAGCAGAATGTCCTGAGCGAGCCCGATCAACGAACTCCGCTGTACCGACCTCAGCAGCTGCACCGACCCTCGTGACCGCTGGAGAGCAAGTGGATACCTTGCCGCTGGAATTCCTCAACCTGCCGGAAGCTCCCATGAGGGCACTCGATGCGCCTTCGAGCCAAGAGAGTGTTGTTTGTGAGTTTCATGCGTTTTTTGGGGTCCAAAGCAAAAGGGGTGCTTTCAGTGAAGGGGAAATCATTGATAGGGAACACCCGAAGTCTTTGGGAAATGGGGTTGATGTAAGGACTAGCTTGCATTTTGAGCATTGGAGCGCCTTCGCAAGCACAAGTGAACCAGAAGCCTCAGCCTGTGCATCCACATTTTCGACATATGAAGCCAAAGGCATTCTTGACACCGGAGCTACCAAGACAGTGATTGGCAGCCATTTTGTCAAAGAACTGCTTACGAGTTTGAAACCAGCAGTCCGTCAACAGGTGCAGCGATGTCCATGCAAGGTCACCTTTAGGTTTGGCAATCATGGCACCTTGGAAAGCCAACACGCCATTGTCGTTCCTATAGGGTCTTTGTTGCTGAAAATAGCCATAGTGCCAGGACAGACGCCGTTCTTGCTGTCGAACACGCTGCGTGCAATTGAGGCCGTGGTTGATACCACCAACCACACCGTCCATAGTCCCGTACTGAAGAAGACCATTCCACTGACCATCAATGAACGAGGTTTGTACCTAGTGGATTTGAATGACCTGGCCTCTCCTGCGCACAAGACCGACCTACCATCCGAAACTTTTGTGACTTTGAATAGTCAAAAGACAGAGGCCCGCCATCGTCACGTCGTCGATCGATCTCAGGAATCTCGACAGGCCACCGGGACCTCTCGTGTGAAACAGTTGATTCAACAATTCGAAGTAGATCAAAACAGTGTCAAACCAACAGCCGGAAAAGATTCAGCCGTGCGAGTGTCTCAGCCATCTCCCGTGCCCAAAAAGAACTTCAGACTCGCCAAAGTCTTCAGTCCCGAGTGCACGAACATCATGACTTCGCAGCTTGCCGCTCGCATGAACCGGGTCCTCAAGGCGACCACGGAGGAGAGCGAGAGCTCTCAAGCCGAACACCATCTGATGTCCATGGAAGAACTCAGTTCTCAAGTGATCACATTCGTCGACATGTGGGAGAACGAAAGCAAGTACTGCCAGTGGTTTCTGTCCACGTACGAGAAGTCCACCAAGATCGAGCACCGCCGGTTCATCCACTTCCTGGAAATGAAGATCGAGAGAGCCGAACTGGAACTGAGCCTTCCCGACACGGCACCGAAGTCATCCGAGGACCAAGGTCCCATCCATCCTCGAGCCAAAGTCAAAGCCAAGAGCAAGATGCTGGCCAAGTCGAGGCCCTCGATCCAACCGCAGGACATCATCGATCTCCAGGAGGAAGAAGATCCGTGGACCAATCTGGAAGACATGGAGTCAACGGTTCAGAAGCGGTCTATGCAGATGTGGAAGCTCTCCAGAGCCGCATGCTCACGATGGAGTCCAACCTGCAGGAAGTCATCAATCACCTGAGGGGCTCCTGAGTTCAGGATGGCTAGATTCGTTGGAGTCTGCATGCTGGCTTCAGGAAGAAGCACACAGTCCTGACACATTAAGTAAACGACTAGATGTCTTAGTCAAGCAGATCTCCAAAGAAGCATCAGCCATTCAGAGGGCCTGCCAAGATCGACCGCCGAAGCCCCGGATTCAGCTCCTCGAGGTTTTCTGCCATGAGTATAGTGAACTCACAAAACAGGTTAGAAACCTAGGGGGCAAAGCAACTCGTATCGGAAAAGCTCAAGGGGGCCTAAGTACACCAGAGGGTAGAGCCATTTTGTTTGAGAGTATGTTTTTGGAAAGACCCAAACATGTTTGGTACAGTCCAACCTGCAGTCCATGGTGTGCCTGGAGCTCTTTCACCGAAAACCGGTCCATGACAATGTTTCATGACATCCAAAGAGCAAGGCAGGAACATTTGTACCAGCTTGCCCTCGGCATAGTCCTCATGAGAATCACCAGAACAATGCAGAGTCACCTTCGCTGGGAACAACCCAGAAAGTCCCTAATGTTCCGGTTGCCGTTGTTGCAAGAAGTGTTCACATACACACAGGAAGCACACTTCGACATGTGCCGGGTTGGTGGTCTGACTTGTCCTGACACAGGCAAACCAATACAGAAAGCGTGGCCGTGAGAACCTCATCTCGGCAAGTGTTTGAAGCTCTGCACGGACGCCTTTGTCGGCGAGATCATGAGCATCGAGCAATCGAAGGGACAGTCAAGACACCCCAGAAGGTAGAGTCACATGTAGTGCATATACCGAAAGATATACACGAAAGTTCGCTAGACATGTTGCAAAGAACTTGTTGAAAGTCACGCAAGAAACCTTCGTTCCAGTCTTGGTATCACATGCTGATAGTCAAGGGCAATCTCCACAGAAACGTCCCAGGCTGTTCGAGTCTCAATCCACTGCATATCGGTTACCTCCAACTCCCTTGGAAGAGTTGGTCGGACTGGGTAAGCGCCGGAGAATCGAAGGTAAGACCCCAGAATCAGAGTGTGTGCAATCAAGTAGGCAAGACCTCCTGAAAGAGCTTGTAGAAAAGATCAAACCACTCCTTCCTAGAGTCGGTAAGAGAAGCCTAGAACAACCTGAAATTCTCCTAGCATTTCAAGACTTGTTCCCAGAAAAGACCATCAAACGAATCCAGGTATGTAAGGGGTCCGACAGAACGCTGCCGCCACCTACAGATCTCATGTCTCAAGAAGCACCATATCGTAAAGCAATCATCCTAAGTCGGCAAGATGATGGGGTCAAGGTAGAAAAGGACTGGGAAATGTGGAAGGACCTGTCCCAGCGACAGATCATTCGACCGGCACACCCAGCCCGGGTGAATATAACGATGTTTGCAGCTGAACCTAGCACCGAGCGCTTGTTTTCTCCATCGACACAGCCAGAGGATCCAAACTCGGAATCCACTCTGAGCCCAAGAACAGATGCCAGAGATCCCCAAGATCACCTTAAGTCCGGAATGGGCTTGAACGGTGACCTCACCTGTGGCCTGAAGCCAAGTGCTGCAATCGATGCCGCAAGCAAGTCTCATGGCAGCATGTTCATGTCCTTGTCACCTGAAGAAAGAGCTTTCGTAATTGAATTACATCAAAACCTGGGGCATCCTAGCAAGGAGAAACTTGGAGAAGTGCTGCGACAACAGGGGTATGATGCCAGAATAATTCAGGGTTTACAACACATGAGATGTTCTGTTTGTCTTTCACAGCAAAAACCAAGCATCCAGCGACCGGCGACCCTCAAAGAAGATCTAGATTTCAATGACAAGATCGGAGTAGACGGAGTCACTTTCACCACCAAACAAGGGAGTTCCATGCACTTCTACCATGTTGTAGATTATGGCACGAACTACCAAGCAGCATTTGCAGCACCAAGCAAAAGCAGTGCAGCCATCGTGAAGACCTTAATTAATGGCTGGTTCCAATGGGCTGGTCCTCCAGGACACCTCGTGACAGATGCTGGAACCGAGCTGACATCACAAGAGTTCGCTGTCATGACAAACCAGTTTAACATCAAACAGCATGTGGCACCACCTGGAGCTCACTGGCAACTAGGAAAGGTCGAAAGACATGGGGACGTGCTTCAGTCAATGTTGTCAAAATACGAAGTAGAACATCCCATCATGTCATATAAAGAAAGACTTGCAAACAGCGCTGTCGTATTGCACTGCTGCCAAGAATGCACTGAGTCTCAAAGGGGGTTTCACTCCAGAAATGCTAGTGTTTGGTAAGGCAATCAGACTCCCAGGGTCTCTGTGTTCCGACCTGGAACTCCCTGCTCATTCGCTGGCAGATAACACATGTCAGCAAGGGATTCAGTTTAGAGAAAAGCTGGCCAGACGAGAAGCCGCCCGACGGGCATTCCATGCTGCCGACAACGATCAGGCCCTGAGAAGAGCAATTCTTCGTCGAACCAGACCCTCACGAGGTCACTATGAGCCTGGCACATGGGTGATGCTGTGGAAACAAAACATGAACCAAAAGGGTTGGTATGGTCCAGCAAGGGTGATCCAACAAGAAGGACAAACATGTGTTTGGTGCAACCAAATGGGAAATATCCTCAAGATAGGACGCCAACACAAGTCAGATGATGAGCCCAACACTTGAAATCCCAAACGACCCAAACCCTGCAAGATCAGTGGAGGAAGTTCCAAGACCTCCATCCAATGCATCAGAGGAACAACCAGATCTAGAACCAGGGATCCAACCTAGTGAGTCCAGACCAAGCGGAAATCAGGAAGACATAGTCGTAGATCCAGTCAATGTCCCTGTGCCAGAAGCAGACGACGATGAACTCGTGTGCGACCAAGTGTTATGCATAGATGTCGAACCGGATGACAGATCATCCGAAGAACCAAAGGGTTGGAAAGCCGAGTTTCCAGTCACTGAAGACATGATTCATGAGTGGAAAACCCATCACAATCAGGATTTCTTGTTCGTTGCAACTGCAGCCAAACGAGATAGATCAGAAGTCAAGGTGCACCTCCTATCCCCCCAAGAACAACAACTATTCAAAGAAGCAAAGAATAAGGAAATCAGCAATTGGCTTAGTACAGGAACCGTGAGCAAAATCCTAAGGGATAAGTTACGACCAGAACAAATCCTAAAGTGCCGCTGGATATGCGTATGGAAACCATTAGAAGAACAACAAGACCAGGAACAAGCTGGACCTCCATCCAGTGCTACGCACAAGGCAAAAGCAAGACTCGTAGTTCTTGGATTTATGGACCCTGAGTTGGAGACGATCGCCCGAGACAGTCCAACCCTCGGAAGGCAATCGCGCATGCTTTTATTGCAATTGGTTGCTTCAAGCAAATGGAGCCTAAGATCGTTCGACATTCGTGCGGCTTTCTTACAGGGTCATACCCAAAAAGGCAGAACTCTAGGACTAGAGCCAGTAGAAGAATTGAAAACGGCCTTGAAAATGTCTTCACAAGAAGTTTGCAAACTGGAAAAATCAGCATACAGCTTGATAGATGCACCATTCTTGTGGTACAAGGAGTTGGACCGCACACTGCAAGAACTAGGATTCCTCCCAGAACCATTCGACCCGTGTTTGTGCATTTTGTATAAACCAGACAGTGAAACACCTGCAGGAATCATAGGCATGCATGTTGATGATGGACTATGTGGCGGGAATGAATTTTTCGAAGAAAAACTCATCAAGCTAGAAGCCAAATACCCATTTGGGAGCAAACAATGCAGTCACTTCACCTTCAGCGGAATCGAAGTTTCTCAGAAAGCAGATCAAAGCATCGTGTTGTCCCAAGCCAAGTACATCGGTAAAATAAACCCCATAAGCATGACATCCGATCGTCGAACTTGCACAACGGAACCAATCACAGATGATGAAAAGCAAAAGCTTAGAGCATTGATTGGAAGTCTCCAATTCGCAGCGGTCAACACCCGGCCAGACCTTTCAAGTCGGCTGAGCTACCTTCAGAGTGAGATTAACAAGGCCACGGTGCAGACACTCCATGAAGCCAACCGAATCCTGCATGAGGCGAAGAAGTTCAAAGAGACTGCTATCACAATTCAACCAATCCCAATTCGAGATCTCCGATTCATGATGTTCTCAGATGCATCGTTCGCATCGGCCAAGCATCCCGACAGTCATACAGGCATGATCATTTTAGCAACCCATCAAGACACCATGAAGAACTACAGGTGTGTAATCAGCCCGCTTTCCTGGGGTTGCAAGAAAATTCAGAAAGTGGTAACAAGCACGTTGTCTGCCGAAACCAATGCATTACAAACCAGTTTGGACCAGCTCTCATGGATCCGACTTTTCTGGTCATGGATCTTGAACCCCAAGATAAACTGGAGACAACCCCAAAAGGTGTTCCAAACGACCCCAGAGCCAGTAGCTTCAACCACCTATCTAGCCCAACAGCTTCCTGGATCCGTAGCAGTTACGGACTGCAAATCCTTGTATTATCTTGTAACAAGAACTGCGCAACCAAATTGTCAAGAATTTAGGACACAGTTGCAGGCGAGGGCGATTAAAGGTTTGCTGGCAGAAGGAGTGCAGCTGAGATGGGTCCACACCGGGGCTCAGCTTGCGGATGCGCTGACGAAAGTCATGCAGAGCACCTTCCTTCGACGCACCTTAGCACAAGGAAAGTATCAATTACATGATGAACTACAAGTCCTGAAACAAAGAGCCGACAGCCGAACAAGGATGAAATGGCTCGAATCCGGAACTCATCTTGAAGAAGCACCATGAAAAGCTCACAAAAGTTTTGTTCGTTTAGAATAAAGTTTTGGGAGTGTGATTCTGCAACCATCCAACCACCACAGGTGCTCTCATGTGAATCCACCCTTAGCCTTTTGGCACGAGGCCGTGGGCGGGTGGGAATGCGGCCATGACGGCTTGAGAAAGGACGTGTGGTCACGTCATCGCAGTGTGGTCACTGCCGTTCGTATCCCAGAACCGGACAACCTGAGGCAGGCTGGTGAAAAGAGATCTTTCAGCGCGGAGCGCTTTGGAGAAGGGAAGGGCCTCCGGAGGAGGCATTGTTTCTTGAAGAAGTGTTGGCTACCTTTGTGAAACCCATTTCACAATATATATCTTCCTTTTTTGGCCCAGAAATGGCAGAGATGGGGTCAAGAAGACGTGTACTGTTAGGGTCTTTTTCCTACTGTTCATCAACTCCTACACCACCCTGGTCGGTAATCACCACGTTCTTCTGTTGCTTACATCGGCACCGGCGCCGCACCTGCCCTTCTTGGGTCGGCAGGCCACCAAGGGTCGCTTGGGACCGGTCGTGGTCTCCTGCACCTCCAGCGTGGCCGTCTTCATTACCAGCCCCTTGGCTAAGAATGGGGCTTAGCCCTGCACCGTTGGAGTTCTGATGGTTGGTGCTAATCTGAGATGCGCTGAGTTTCTGGCTTTCTCATCCCTGAGGCCTCCACGTCGAACCCAATATATCGGTCAGCCCCCTTTCATGCAAGATTCTTATGTTTTTTGCGGCATCTTCCAGACGCCTCTTTTTTGCAGCAGTTTTCCAAACCTAACTTGAACATTCCAAAAAGGTGGTTTCGCCGGCCACCTTCATGGTCCATATTGAGTGAGAAACTCAGGTTCTCAGGCACACCTGGATCTAGGCGACAAGATCCTCATCCTGGAGCTTCAAGCTCGGAGACAACCGAGAAGCGCTCGGCTGCGCATTGAGGTGACTTGATGGTCCAAAAGGCCGTGGAGAAGCGCTCCGAAGTGGACGTGACCCGCACCAGCGTCATGGGTGCCGTGGCCGTCGCATTCACGCGTCGCAAGTCAGCGCCGGGTTCGTGGCGTTCGGCGCAGCCAAGGGTGGGGGGGCGAGGTTTGGGTTTGGGATTGGGAGCGAGTTTGGTTCGGTGTTGGAGTGTTGGAGTGGTCTTAGGTGAAAGGGAATCTTCGAAGTGACAGGGAATCGAAGAAGGAAATCTGGATTCAACAAGGAACAAGTCAAAGTATATGTCCTATGTTGTTCACATATATATCACGAAAGGTAGCGGTTACGCTACCTGAGTTTTCCTTTTGCTTTAGCAAAAATGAATTATAACCAGAGTGGACACCTATCTCACTGAGAATCGCCCTCCGACATTTCATTTTAGAGGGCGGGGGGGGGGGCCCTCAGCACATACATTATACTCTTCCCTCTTACGCCCCGCCACTTTCAACTCCACCCTGGCGCGGCTCTTTGTCAACGGCTACAAAACACCGTAAATTCAGCTCCTCCAGTCTGCAACAGTGGCCTCAAACCACGCAATTTACAGGGTTTTCTGTGGCTGTCCGACCAAAAACCTCGTAAAAACCGATTGCTTTTGAAGTGTTTAGGCTTCAAAAATGGTCGAAAAATTGCCAAAAACCTGGAAAGATTTTGTCGGAAAGGTTTTTTTGGGCGCTTGGAGGCTTCTAAATGGCACAAAACGATGGTATTTACACGGGTTTGTGCGCCTTCCCGGCACAAAACCCTGTAAATTGCGATGGTTTTGGGCCATGTACGCTTCAAAGTGGCCACAAAACACTGTAAATACAAGTGCTTTCAGCTCCTCCTGTCTTCAAGAGTGGCCTCAAACCACGCTATTTGCAGGTTTTTTTTGTGGCGGAAAGGTTTTTTTCGGCGCTTGGAGGCTTCAAAGTGGCACAAAACGACGGTACTTACACGGGCTCGTGCGGCTTCCTGGCACAACATCCTGTAAATTGGGATGGCTTTAAGCTATGCACGCTTCAAAGTGGCGACAAAACACCGTCAACTCCACCCTGGCGGGGGTCTTTGTCAACAGCTACAAAACACCGTCAATACCAGTGTTTTCAGCTCTTCCATTTTGCAAGAGTGGCCTGAAACCACGCAATGGACAGGGTTTTCTGTGGCTGTCCGGCCAAAAACCTCGTAAAAACCGATGGTGTCTAGGCTTCAAAAATGGTCGAAAAGTACTTGGTGCTTCGAAAAGTGTCTAGGCTTCAGTACTTGGTGCTTTGCCTTAACTTTGATCCTCTAGCAAGGGCTTCTGTTCAACAGGGGGGGGGGCCCTGACCTCCTCCAGGGTTACGCCTGATTCCCTGCTACCTTTCGTTCACCCCCTCCTCTCTCAAGTGTATATATACTCATACCTGGACCTTCCAAGGGGTGTCCAATGGAGATCCACAAGTAGTGTGGGGGCTTCCATTGGTGACCGCTTGGAAAGTGCTGGATATATATATATATATAATATATATACACAGTTTATGATTACACATTATGTTAGGATCTAGTTTTCCTGGACCTTGTCTTGGGGCTCTTGTGTCCATCTTTAGGACTTATGGGCGCTTGTTCCTGGTTCTTTCCTTGGTGAGGCTGTCCCGACATACGAAACTTCATAGGCTCACGAGTCCCAAAATCTTCATGGAACAAATCCTCCTGATCCGCAGCCAGTTGGGAAGGCAAAACAAAACATCAGCTTCTCAAAGATAAATTATCCTATGTTCCCACACTCGCCTGGCTGTTAAAGTTCTCAGTTTTCCTTGAAAAACCCTCAGCACCAGACTTCTAGAGGTTTCATGGTTGAGGTTTCTACGGCCGAGTTGACCACCCATTGTTTTGGATGGGAAGATCTACCACCTGCGCCTTTCACGGCGTCCACGGACACCGACCGATGATCCAAGGCCTCTTCGGCCTGGGCTATGCGGGCTTTGCTCAGCACTTCCTATACACACGCCTTTGGCCTTTCATCCTCCAGGTGCGCCACATCGGCCTCAGGTCCGTTCGATCCGCTTCGGCCGTGTTGGGGTCGTTGGGTTTGGGTTTCAAACGGAAGCTCCTCCGAAAGGGTGTCTGTTTTCCACATGTCGACACCCTGGAAGAAAGACCAGGTCGACACTGTGACGAGTACATGGGAAGAGAGAAACCACGAGCACATGATGAAGATTATGAAGGATTGTTGGTGAGACGGACCACTGCACAAAAACCTAGAGGATGGTCCAAGGGACCCTTGAAGACACATATATCGAAATGCTATAATAGTTGATGGACCATATAGGCTAAAAAAGATCAGTTTTACAGTTGAGTGTTTGGCGGCGGGATCACATATCCAAATGGTTTTTTTGGAAGGTGTTTCCTGTGAGAAGGGTACCCTCCGGCTTAGGTTCCATGGAAGTGGAACACCATTTTTGTTGTAAAGGGATGTTATGTTCGCCCATTTTCCAGTTCCATGTGTTCGTCGGAGTTGTTCCAACCAAACAGATCCGCTTGTTTCCTCCGGCCGTTTGGTTTACATCCACCCATCAGCTTCATGCCTCATGCCTCTACCAGACACGTGGTGGCAAAATCAAATAGCAACAGCTTCAAGAACTCCCCCAACTTTCTCAGCCGGGCTGAAAAAACCTGTTCATGACTGCTGCAACGAGTTCGTAGGGAATGAGAGGCCAAGATAGAACATCATCTAGAAACCAAAACATGCCCAAAAGAATAGATCGAACACACATCCTTATCGTCTCTCTAGAGTCAACCGGGCCCCGAACACCGACTTGCCGCCGGAGGCCGCTCGCTTGTCGGGCCCCCGTGCGGTGGCCTTCCAGGCCGGTGGTCGACCGGTAGGCGAAATGTGTTCGTCCATGGTGAGGAAAATCGGATGAGACGATGAGAATTTGTCTGGTTGGAAGTTATAGACTATCGATTTTTTTTTTTTTTTTTTATGTTGTAGCTTTTTGTTCATGATCAGTTTTGTGTTTTCTTGATGTTGGATGCGATGTTTTGGTGTTTTGTTTTGTTCATTGTTGTGTGTTGCGTGTACAAGGTCACTAGGTTTTCCAGGCACTACTTACCCGGACCTCCCAGGCAGGATTGCTTTAAGCGCTGATTGCAACTCTTGACCAAGGCTAAGGTGATGCATCCATTGCTCTCAAAAACTTGCATCAACGGACAGTTTTACGTTGATTCCTTATGTAGAGAACGAAACCCAAGATCCAAATGGAGTGCGATCACTTTTACACTGATGGACAGGGGTTGGCAACCCAATTCAACATATGTGGCCAACACAATGATCTGAAGGGTGTGTCTCATTGCAACCCTGCAATTCAATAGCGTATCCTTCTTCATTAAGGCCCACCTATTGTAGATAAGATATATGAGAGTCTATGCCTGGTTCTATTGCGTAAGTCGAGCAGTCAGCAGACTTTAGAACAAGACAGCAGTCAGCAGACTGTCGATCGACACCATCCACATTCCCCACAGTTGAGCTCTGCAGCCCACAGTCGGAACCCATCGATTCCCACCATTGGTTTCAGGCCGAGGCGGAGTGAACCTGAAATCCGATGCACAGGTTCAACATAGGCTCTCCCATATTTCCAAACACTGCACCCATCAGAACCTTTGCGCTTGACCATGTGTTTTATTGTTTGTCCAGACTGTTCATGTTGAGAGGAAAGCCAGAAGGAGAAGGATAATTTACTCGGAAAGAGGTGTAAATGGCAGTAGACTCTATGCAGGTTCGGGCTCCACCTTCAATTGGCTAGTTTGGTGACATGTTCATCTTCTGTTTTTGCAAGTAGCATCAGTTCCATGTCGGGATGCTATCCATGGAGGAAGTCGGGGTGCCCTTTCTCCACTCACTGGATGGGTCTGGAAAGCACCCGAATCGGAACTCCTGGTAGATGAGTTTAAGAGTTGAAAACCCATGGGGGAGGGTGTGAACAGTTGGTCGTTTTGATCAGTTATTGGGAGACACCTTGACCTGGAATGATTGATCCCACTGATACTTTGCCAGGACCTGACCAGCTGACTTGAGAGCTAGTGAGCTAGTGGCCATGGCAAAGAATTGTATACACTCCAACCCATTGGTGAAAAGGAGAACTAGCTGGTAACAATTACCTGCAGAACTTACCTGGTTTTCTCGTTGTTTTGAGCCACATCCAGCGAGGAAACTCTGAGGACCTGTTCCAAAAAGATCGCTCGTCACGGTCGTGCGGTTTTCGCAGGTCTTGGGGGATCAAGGCTGGCATGGAGTGGGAGTGGCAAAGGTGATAGAGGTACTGAGGTATGGCCGGTATGGCTGCCAAACACAACTTGGTCGTTTTCGTGATTTAAACCATGTTAGTCATATATATATATATATACAGTAGTCTATACTCCACACATTGGAGTGATACCCCCTGCATCTCGGGTGATGTCAGATGCATCAGCTCGGTGCGTTCCAATGTTCCGAAGGTCGGTCGGCTTTGTGCAACCGTCACGGTGAACGGGTGTGTGTGTGTGTGACCTGTCTGGGTGTGTCTAGGTCACACACGGGTCATGACATTGGTCTTTATGACCAGTGCTTCCATCTATAGTTCAGGAAAGTCTTTTTGACCACTTGAGGTGGCATTCATACGGTACATGCATACTGCATCTGAAGCGTGTGTGAACTTGGAGACGGTTGGACCCCACTGCACTACGTAGGTCCTAGGTGTTTCTCTTTGCCAAGGTTTCATCAGGCTGTGATTTACTCCATTCGTACTTCATTTCTAGTGCGTTGTGTTTCTTTTTCAACCGCAAGTTTTCTACAGGAGGGTTGGAAGATGAGGCTCCCTTGATTTCAAACAGGACACCGCGATGTGAAGAGCTGGGAGACTTACAGTTGGATCTGGTTTCTTCCTTTATCCGGAGGGTGCTACTCCATTCCCAAACCCTCCATGGGACTGGAATATGTTGGAATTGTTTGCCTAACACGGAGGTGGTTTTGGGGGGGAATGTAGGTCATAAAATCGAAAAACACAAAAACAAGTTGCAACTTACTGTATAGCTATTTGTCCAACGTTTGGGACCCTGGAATGGTGAAAACGCCACGGCGAAGAAGCCTGGCCGCACTCTCGAGGCTTCTACATGCCTCTGATCTACTTGCCGATCTTCTATTCCACCAAGGAACCGACTGGAGGGACCACGTAAGACGCTGACAGACGCTGACAGACCGAAAGAGGTTCATCGAAGTCTTTTGATTGTGGAGCCAACACATGGATACATTGGCACACATGCAGGTGCAACATGTGCGTTTCAGGGGCTGAAACACAGCATCAGAACAATTCAGATCATTCAGAAGCTTTGGCGCGTCACTTTTTGCCTTGTTCTGGTATGTATGCAGCGAAACGCCTGCAGAAGACAAGCCGCCCCCCCAACTTGGATTATACATCCTTGGATTTCTGAGGACACCAAGACATACTGAGACACCAGTACAGACATTCTGGACCGCACCGAATAGTTTCTCCAGGGGTTGCAACTTAAACTGAAGCCTCCAATGCACTCGTATTCTACCATATTCTACCCCTTTGTTGCAGCACCTTCTTTGCACAGCCCGTTTGAAAGGTGATCTCTTCTAGTAACAAGTGCATTGCCACTAGGAACCAGGGCATCGCTAGAAAGGAACAAGTGCATCGCTACTAGGAACAAAGGGCATTACTAGTAGTAACAAAAAAATATACAGTCTTTTTTTTTATTTGTTGCTCTGAGTATTGAACTTGATTCGTTGACCTTGATTAACTACTGGGGTAGCCCGGAGCCCGGTAGGGGACCACCCCTTTTGGACATGTTCTTGTGTCATAGGATTTGTCATCATTTAATCCCCTTGCTGTTGCGCAAAACCCTGGTGGTCTTCACTTGGCGTTGATGTGATTCCTTGAGCTTCAAATGGGGGGCAGACCTAGGGTGTGGCCAGTTGCCATTATCGGTCGGCATAAAGATTATCACGGATGTTTGAGACAGGCCCATCATCCACAAGGCCCTGGTCGTGGGATGTACTCCCTAGCCGTCCAAGACCATAAAAAACATGGTTGGTTGACATGGTTTGTCATGCCAAGCCAGATGGCCGGGTCCCCCAATCAGTTCCGAGAAGATTCTCGGACACCAGGAGATGGCGTGCACCAACAAGCTGCTTTGGGAGACCGCCCAGGCGGGTGTGCTCCGCTGGCAGGAGAACCTCGCCGCGGATCTCACGTGGCTTGGGCAGATCGGCGGATCGGCGGTGGAAAGCGGAATCGGTTCGGTTGGATGTTCGCGGTGGAAACCGCTGGCGTTTGAAAGGTCGTCCTGTTTTTTGCGGTTCAGGTGATCATGTCTTTTTCCCGAACTGGGTAAATCCCCTTCTGCATTATGCTGCATGGGGCTTATGTTTTGTGAAGCGAAGTATTTGGGGTTTGAAGGGTCAGACAACTCATGGAAGTCAGAGATGGCGGACGAAATCCACTGATCACCACTCAAAAAAAATCCACACCGCGACGCACATGGTGATCTGAGAGAACGACTACTGCCGGACGCTGAACTGTCCATCATAGAACCAAGAATCATCCAAGAACCATCCAAGAACCAAAAACCATGTGATAGGCTAAAAACCATCCAAGAACCATTCAAGAACCATCCAAGAACGTCTCAAAATGACCTTCCTCCAACCTCCCAAGTCTGTCAAGTGACACGTCAGCGCCTCAGCGACCAGCGTCGCGCTGGTGAACACGGGCCGCCCGTTAAGAGGTGGCAAGAGGACTTCACCAAAGAACCGTTTGGAACAGAACACGCAAACGCGAAGCGATGCCAAAACATCGCCCAAACCGCGACGCGATGCCAATCGGAAGTTCCGCGCCCCGGCCGTGGTCGATTGGGTCGGTCGGTTGGTCGCTCGGACACGTGGGAAAATCCCCCAAAAGGAGTAACTCGTCTTTGAAGCTGCGGTAACCATCTGTAGGGATATGTAGGGATACTTGTACCAGCACCCTCCAACAGGTCTCCTCTGGTGGCTTTTGGAGATCTAAAAGTGGAAAAGTGGTGACCTGTTGGAGGATACTGGTAGATATTGTTCTATATATACTTTATGCATGTTTGTTAATACACACACATTGATACATATATATATATATACACAGAATATGGCAATTATGGGTCATAGCGCCCGGGCATTCGGCATTGGCCACCGACTACATGAACTGATTCCTTTGTGGGATATCAACCTTAACCATGCTTTGGTTGAAGATGTTTTGACTATCAGCCATATGATATACCATATTACTTCCCTACAAGTCCAAAGACCCAGTATAACCTGTTTCTTTTTTAACCTCCCTGAGTAGTGTTTTTGTATGACCAACTGACCTGTAGGACATTTCTTACTGTTTGTGTTTCTTTTTCGTTTGGAAGGGCGTCCTCTCGGCCAAGGCTTTGCTCCGGCTATTGGATTCCCGTCCAGGCCTTTCGTTTGCAGACGACTCGTGGATGACTTTCTTTCTTAGGGACTCGTGCGTGCGATTTGGTCAAGTCCTTGCACCATCGTGGAAGAAGTGAAATTGAACTGAACCGTTTGGTCAGGAAAGCTATGGAAAGCTTGTCCACCAGTTGTTTTCGTGTTGAGATGTCTGAAGTATTGATCTCTGGAGACCCACACTCGTGGGCCTCCTCTTTCACTTGAGGTTGACAATCACACGCCCCAGGCTTGGCTAGCTTGCACCTTAAGATTAGTAGAGGCAAGAACAAGCTACATGAGGTTGCTCCGAAGCAAGTCAAATCCTTTATATGGAGAGGTTTGGTTAAACGATTAGGAATGATTAGGACCCTCCTCCCCAACTTATTGAACACCTGACTTGCTGGGACATAGAACGGTTGGTCATTACAAAAACATATAAACATTATATGCATATCATATATTGTTAATTAAGAACGCATGTGTCTCCTGTCTCCTGCTGTTTTGTCCTGCCTTCATGTACTTTGGAAGTCTTTTGTACCATTTGAGGCTCCAGGCCGAAGCCTTTTGAGTGGTCCAACACGGTTTCATTAGTATCCACCAACAATCATGGAAGTGGAAGCTGCTGGATACTTGACCGTTCTTGTGCCGCGACACGGGAAATTGTCTCATGGCTGCTGTGCCATGGGGAACTAGGTCCTTGGTGTAAACCGGGTTCAACCTAAGCATGTATGACATCAACCTTTGTTGTTTTACAAAACACATTGGCGTTTGGCCGTTCCACAAGACCACAAGACTGGATATCTCATGAATCCACCGCTCAACAGTCTCGACTGTCAGCTGTGCCTTCTGGGGGACTAGCCTGAAACCAGTGTGAGTTCTTCGAAGGTAAGTCTGTCAAGGTCTGTCTGGTGAATCGCTATAAGCACAGCAGCTTCCACGTTTGACCAACGCAGTGGGTATGAGATACCAACGCAGCTTCTCCATCCGTCCGCTGTGCGTGCCATTGGGGGCTCTTTGAGGTTTATACGGATTTT